AAAAAAAAAAAAAAAAGAAACACACAGGCAAAACGGACAGATAAACACAGTGGGAAGATTTTTAACAAACAATAAATAGTCAGCAGGGAGAAGAAGACGTCACCTCACTGAGCCTCTCTGGAAATGAATGTTGATGTGTGTTTGCAGCCGCTCGCCATCTGCTCCTCACATAAGCCTCTTGCGTCTCCCACTTTGTTTATCTTTTTGCTCGCTCTCCCTTTTCCCCACTGCTCTGCTTCTGTATCTGAAATGAGATCCTCCCGGGGCACGGATGTTCACGGTCAAAGAATCTCCTCTGGTATGGAAGATGAGACGAAGGGTTCCCTCCAACATCTGTGTAACATGAAAAATGTAATGCCGATTGGCATGAAAATATTAGATCAGATCAAACTGTCTTTGAATCTTTCGAAAAACTGCAGCGAAAAACACAAAGTAGTCAGTCACCCTCTGCTCACCAGTTCTTGCTAACCCTTCAGTAGATGTGTTAAATTATGAAGCTTAGTTTGATCAGTTCCATCAAGTTACCCACACTTTGTCTGCGTTACCTTGGAGAAGTGTTTATTTTCTCTCTTTCTTGTATCCCTAGACTTCAGGACAAGGTCCAGGAGACCATTGAGGCTTTGCGACTCGCAGGAATCAAAGTATGGGTGCTGACAGGGGACAAACATGAGACGGCAGTCAGTGTAAGCCTGTCCTGTGGCCACTTCCACAGAACCATGAACATCCTGGAGCTCCTGCAGCAGCACTCTGATAACGAGTGTGCTGAGCAGCTCCGCAGACTGTCCAGGAGGTAGGTGTGATTCTGCTGAAAGTCATCATGTTATCTGACAGCATACGTGTTGTTTAATTTTATAGATAGATATCGATAGATATATCTATCTATATATATCTCCCTGACCTCATATTGTGTTCTTTTTTTAAACTTTTTCTCTGTCTGTTCGCAGGTTAAGGGAGGACCATGTCATACAGCATGGATTGGTTGTAGATGGAGCTAGTCTGTCTTTAGCATTAAGGGAACACGAGAAGCTCTTTATGGAAGTGTGTAAAAACTGTTCAGCTGTGCTGTGCTGTCGCATGGCCCCACTGCAGAAAGCTAAGGTATTGTTGTCTTGTAAGCATTTTTAATTGTTTGTGGGTGGATGGAGTTCCTTTGTTTTGTTTTTTATGTTTGTTTGTTTTTTGGCTCTGCAAATTTTCTGAAGCTCACCTGTGATGCCATTGTTACTTTGTTATGTCTAGGTTGTGCGTCTTTTAAAGACATCTCCAGAAAAACCCATCACCTTAGCTGTTGGGGATGGAGCCAATGATGTCAGTATGATACAGGAAGCCCATGTGGGCATAGGTAAACACTTAGCTCACGTACATACAGACTGTATTGTCTCACGCGACATGGTATTAGTGTTCTGCAGTGTGATCTCCAGTATGTCTGTGTCTCCAGGTATCATGGGGAAGGAGGGTCGTCAGGCCGTGAGAAACAGCGACTATGCAATTGCCAGGTTCAAGTTCCTGGCCAAACTCCTGCTGGTCCACGGGCACTTCTACTACATTCGAATAGCTACTCTTGTACAGTACTTTTTCTACAAGGTAAGATCTAGAAAGAGACTTTCTACTTCCGCTGTAATCGTTCAGTCCCACTAGAATGATAATACGAGACACATTCCCTGTGGCTAAGAGAAATCAGTGTGTTTTTATTTGTTTTGTTTTGTTTTTGTTTTTTTTAATTTAGCAACAAATGGTTGTATTCTGGTTATTTTCCTAGCTAAAACAAGTTTGCACAGGGCCTGTTTTTACATTTTCAAATAACAAATCACTTATCTGTGGAGAACTACATTTCTGTTCAGGATTTGGTTGTTCTCTAAATGTGAATTCTGTGTCTATAGATAGCAACAGATTTGCAATTTTTGCTGATTTACCCAGTTATTTGCTGTGTAATTGCACGTAATTGCCAACTTAACCCCATTCAGATAGCAGACTGACTCTTTTATTGTCATTTTATCATTGTCGTGATACAATTACTCACTGACTTGGTTCCCATCTTCAAAGACACCATTTCAAAGGCAACAGGACTACAGGTTCACTGCACACAGTCACAATAATTTAGCTTGTGCTGTGGCCTCCGACCACTGTTTCCCCTAGTGTGACCGTAGCATAACTAAGAGCGTGTTCAGTCGTGTCTCCTGTCACTGCAATATTTTTAATGTTTCTTTCCTTCACTCTGTCTTTTCTAGAATGTGTGTTTTATCACGCCGCAGTTTTTATACCAGTTCTTCTGTTTGTTTTCACAACAAGTAAGTCTCACACTCACTGTATCTTTGTCTTTTTAATGTCAGTGGTGTTTTGGTCCTGGTCCTTATTAGGTATCGGTTTGAGTGCATTTTTATAGATTTTTTCTTTTTCTATGTCTCTTGTAGTGAATCTGTGTTAAATAAAAACGAAAATGGATCTTATTATTTATAGGCTTTAAAATTAAGAATCAGAAGTCTATTGAATTTCTGTCTTTTCAATTATTTATGTAGCATGGTTTTGGAAGCTCCCAAAATATTATTAACCATGTAAGACTATAGTTTTTACTGGGAGGCCATATTATAATCCTCTTGCCTCATCTTCTAGTACAGTGTGTGTGTTCCTACTCATTTGTTTTTCCGCTTTGCTCCAACTCTGCTCCGCCTCTCTCCCTGATATCTTTAAGGTCTGTTAAATGAGTTGTGGATATCAGTTCTTGTTAATGGGTCATTGATGAGTGAAATGCTGTCTCTGTCCAACCTAGACTCTGTACGACAGTGTTTATCTGACACTGTACAACATCTGCTTCACCTCGCTGCCAATCCTTGTGTACAGTCTGTTTGAACAGCTGGTCCATCCGCATGTATTGCAGAACAAACCTGGCCTGTACAGGTGAGCTTATATGTCATCTCTAGGTGAACACTACTTTGTATATTGTTTTCTGTTATGTCATCATCTACGTACACAGTTGGCCCACTGTTTCTTTTTTTGTGTGTGTTAATTGGAATTTTATGTAATGTTTTTAAATTGGCTGTTAGCATCTAGATGCTGCTTGTTACATAAATCATTTTATTTTTCAGAACTGCTAAATTGCAATGTATTTATTTATTCATCACAGTGAAACATGCAACTTTGCTTGGATCCTATGAATGCTCTTAAGGATTATATATAAAAAAAAACAACAACTTTTTATTTATTTATTTTCTGCAGGGATATTAGCAAGAACTCTCTGCTCTCTTTCCGGACCTTCTTGTACTGGACTGTGTTGGGTTTCTGTCACGCCTTTGTCTTCTTCTTTGGATCCTACATACTAATGGGAGAGGACACCACTCTTATGGGCAATGGACAGGTATGTGTTTTCATGCTCTATGATGCTGATATCAGTCAAATGTTAGTTCAGAGCAAAAAAGAGAAAAGTAGCAAACAGATACTATTGAGTAACCGTTCGTGATTGCATCTTGTTGTGTTGCGGACATTAACGGGACTGTTTACCCGCTGGTATTTTTGCACTCACGTCTTCCCTTCATCTTGCACTTTTCTTATCTGTCTCTTTGTCGTTCTTTTTGTTTAAGAGCATAACAAATCTTCCCTTTTCTGTCCTGCTGCATATCTCATCATCTTTCTTTCTTTCTGAAGTTTGGTATTTCCGAAAGCACTCACTTTTACTGCACTCTCTTGGTTGTCTTTTTCTTCTGTCCTTTGTTGATTACGCCTTTTCCCTTTTGCCTTCATGCTGTGCATGTCTTCAGATCTTGCGAGCTAACAGGCAGCTGGTAAGCGTCTGCTCTACAGATGAATGCATGTCTTCTTAGGGAGCTAATGAGAGAGCTCCCAGAAAGATTTTCTTTTAAGTGAAATATTAAATTATTAGTAATGATGCTATTCAAGCGCATGAATTTAAATGGCTAGTCTATAGCATTTACATTAGTGGTGTCTTGAAATATGCTGAATCAACTCATAGTAGAGTTACATGGCTTGGTTTAATCATTCCCTACCTCTCCTGTACCCTTAATGACAGTTTTTGAGTATATACAGTATTTTACAATATATTATATTTTGAGTTTGATGACCATTAGAATAAAATAGAATTTCTGCCTTTTTCAAAGCGTAGCTGCATAGGCAGAAACCATCGTCACTAACATCCAGTCAGATTTTTCTATAAGTAGGCCTGAAATATGACAGAAATCACTGCTCGGAAAATAGTTTGAAGGGTTTTACCTAGTAGGCTTTCAAGAGGTAAAGAGTAGATATCAGTTAGGGGGCCGAGTTTGTAAAAGATTTTAGTTTAAATCATAATTCTGAAAGTAACGAGCACAAACTTGAACTGTATTCCTAACACAGGTCCAGAAATGGTGTTTACTCCCCTGTGTGTCACTATTAGCTCTCAATGTTCAGACTCCAGCAGGGTCCTGAATTGGCTGGCAACAAAACAATGTCTCCCACAGCTCTCAACCTATAAGTAGAACAGTGGAGCTACTGATGGTACTCACACAGTTGGAGGCCGAGGTCTTATTTTGGGCACCGTGATGCCAAAACAACTTGTTAACCAAGGCTACAGTCATAGTGAACTTGTCTCTCTTTGCACCACATGTGTAGACTAAAGCTTGTCAGTGATCCGAGGGAACAAGAGCAGTAGGGTAACGACGTCCCTTATACAGATGCGAACACACAGTCTGTACATTTATGCAAAGCTTCTGTTTTCCTCTCCTCGTGAAATCACTTTCAGGAAGTGCCAAACTACATTGTAATGCTGTTTATTATTATTAACTGAAGTACTGTATGTCTGTTTTTGTAGATGTTTGGGAACTGGACATTTGGAACACTGGTCTTTACTGTCATGGTCATCACTGTCACGTTAAAGGTAAATGATATCAAATATTATACCCTATCAACAAACCACTGTACTCTTTCTAAAGAGGCAGTTGTGTTTGGATCATTTTGTAATGTTTACGACACTCATGGTTACATTTGAAGCTTTCAGAGTAATGAGTGGTGGGTTCATATAATAGCAGGCACTCTCCCAGTCAGATTTGTATGTTTGCCACCTGCTGAGAACAAAGCAGCAGGAAGCCAAGTTATTCAGTGAGTGTAAACAAGGGCTGGGAAAGAAGTATCCAGTGACACATCTTCAGCTTAGCTGGAGTTTTGCTTACGTGTAGGAATTTATAATAAGTTGACAAGCTGACACTGAAGTACATCAGCAATTTATTTTTGAGTGTTTGAGTCTTTTCTCATGTAATGCCCTCTAAGGATGATGGCTGCTGTTCGCATAGCAGAAAGCTGAGAAACACATGCAGTTTCAAAAGGAGACATTTGTATTGTCAAAGTCCCGTTAATGAAATATGTTGAAAGATGTTGTGATGAGGATGATGTCAGTGGTCATTAATTGGAGAAGATAATTTATCAGTGTCACCTCAAGGTCTCTCTTTATAGCACGGAGAAAGATTGCTGTAGTTTATTGATGCACTGCCTGTCCCTGGATCCATGTTTTACACCCATCTTTCTTTTCCTCCCCCTCCTGTATGTGTGTAACGTCAGCTTGCATTAGAGACTCATTTTTGGACGTGGATGAACCATTTTGTGACATGGGGCTCAATTGCCTTCTATTTCATCTTCTCTCTCTTCTATGGAGGCATCATCTGGTAAGAACACCTTCTTGGCAAGTTCTTTTTGCTTCTGGAAAGTGATGCTTTTAAACTCAGTTACTTCCTGTGTGTTGTATGTTTATGTCAAATAGGTCTGGGCAACATGAACAAAAAAAAAGCTCTTACCACTTTTTTTTTCAGGTTTTTTTTCTCATATATATTAAACATTTAAATATTATTTTCTGTTAAAAGCTGAGCATGACAAATGTACAATACACAGAAAAATAGAACAATACACAGATCTGTAAATCTGTGTGTCTACAGTCATCTAAAACATTAATTCTGACCAATAGGATGATTTATATAGATTCAAACAGTTTTTGGGGTGAACAACACCAAAAATAAACAAAGCTTTCTGTATATATCATCAGTAAAAATTCAGGAATCTTTCAAATATAAAAAAGAGAACATAAACTAAAGTGATATTTTTACACAATTGTGGTGTGCTAATGCTTCAAGACAACAATCCGTCCATCCTTTCACTTATCCAATTCAGGGTTGCGGGGGCGGGACTGGGAGCTATTCTAGCTCCCATAAGGCGAGAGATGGGGTTCACCACGTATAGGTCGCCAGTCTGTCGCAGGCCTAACTGTCAAGTTTTTCTAAAATATAAATAGAAACGGTTTGAGAAAGCACAAGAAGTACAGGACTGGCTCATTGAAATGCATTGTATTTGACCACAAATCCGATCGGGTGGTGAAGTATGATAGCTTTGCAGATCTCTCTACACTCCTGTGTAGCTGGGACAGTGCTGTCTGAGAGAAATGTTTACAGCTAGTTGAACCAGCAGCTTCAATCAACATTTTCAACTGTGCTTACTTGCATCATACAGATTACAGTAAGGTATTGCATTGTGCAGGTAAACGGTTAGCTGTGCATGGTGTAAGGATGTCCTTGCTTCAGGTGCTTATGTGGCATTTATGTGGAAACGTGCTTTCAAGCCATTTTGCAATGTATGTTGCTCTGCTTCTTTATCAGGCTTTAGCAAAGTCCTCAGACTCTTCTTTTGAATAATAAGCTTGTCCTTTTATGGCTGTCATGTTCAGTAACGCTGTCTCTCGAGTTTCTGTTACAACCCTAATGCTGCAGTAGCACAAACATTAGCACATGTGCTGCTGCCAGCGGCTCCTCTTACACTGATGTCAGTGTTCCAACCATGTCCGTCCCCATGATTGGTTCAACAGGGTGCTATTCTCACCGTCATTGGCCTCTCGTATTGTCTGTGAAAACATGGATGTAGTGAGTTCTATCGGCTTTATATTGAGCATTTGTTCATATTTCTATTGAGGGAAAAATTACTTCATAATAACTATTTTAGTGTTTTATTGCCCCGCCCTGATGTCAAACTATACCTCACACGACTGCTTTGTTTTTGTTTTTTCTGGTAGTCTGCTGAGTTGAACAGATCAGTCTCGACCACGTTACACAGGCCAGTGAACTCACAGACTTGCAGGAGCCATGCTGATAATATTGGACCATAATGGATATTTGTAGTCTGACATCTGCACCAGTCATTAAACTCTGGTGTCAGGAAATAATGAAATTACTCTAAGAGCATGACTTCCAACTGCCAGTAAAACCTGAATTTATGGTGAACAGGGCAAAGTCGAGGCTGGCTGCCCATCTCTGTTGCTGTTTTGTTTTGTATGATTCTTTTTTTTTTTTTTTAAAGGCTAACCAAATGTTACTGTTGCTTTTGGACAAACTGGCTTGTAGATGTTTTTAAGCATAAAATAGACATTGTTTCCTCTCCTCTTGCCCCCTCAGGCCATTCCTGCACACCCAGGACATGTACTTCGTCTTTGTGCAGCTGCTGTCCAGCGGTTCAGCCTGGTTCGCCATTATCATCATCGTCATAACTTGCCTCTTTCCTGATGTGTTGAAGAAGGTCTTGTACAGACACCTGCAGCCCACCAGCACTCAGAAGAGTCAGGTAATGAGGGGAGGAGGTGCAGGAGCCGTATTATAAAAAAGAAAAAAAAAGTGGGAAGTATGAATGTGTGATGGTAAGACATTTATAGGTTGTTGCCTGTGAGCCAGTACTGGCCTAACTCTGTAGTTTCTCTGGTTCACAGCAGCTGCCTAAGTGCTCTTTTGTTCTACTTGCTGTTTGAACTCTACTGTAGTTACTGAGAATACTTCACCCACTTCTCTGTTTTCACTTGCATTGAAATCGTTTTAAAAAGGGTGAAAGCTAATGAAAGATGACAGTATTCTTAAGTAGTTAACAGACTTTGAGAATAAGTCAGATATTGTTAGTTTATTACCAGATCTATGTAAACAAGTCTAAAAAAAGTTTCTGTGGGTTTGGGGTTTACTGCAGGCTCAGAATGAAAAAATTGGCAAAAGGCTCGAATGCTTTCCAGTAGTTAAACTTGTGTGTCAAGCGTTAGATTTAATACATATTCCTACTTGTTTCACAAAAAGGGAAATTGTATTTCCTGCTATTTGAAAAGAGCCTGGAGGGAAGAAATAAACTAAAATGCCACTGAAAGTTAAAATGTGACAGAGGCAGGGAGGAGAAAAGGTTCTGCCCATCGTGTTGTTTAAATGAGCCTATGTGGTCACAAGTAATCAACTTGGCAGCACAAGAAGGACTTGGTGTTTATACACACATTGCATGAGTCGCCTTTGATCACAGACACGCAGACCAGCTCCACACTGTGCATGGTCACCTTTCAGAGGACCCACACTGTTGCTGTATTGATTTGTCCAGCTGGAGATTGCTTATGTTTTAGTTTAGACCCTTCTCCTTTGAAATTTGTCCAGTCCTACATGGAGTTTGTATTTTCTGCGAGTGGGCTTGTGGTAGTGTGTGTGTCTGTGAGAGAGAGAGAGACTTTGATTTTTAACCTCTCTGTGTGTCTTCATCCTATCCTCTGTGTGCACTCTCCTGGTGTAGATGTATTCCAACCGTGTGGCGATAGGTGATGACTTCATCGCTCTGCAGCCTTTGTCCAGAGCCAAGAGCCAGCTGGGCAAAATTAGGTAGAGGAATTGAGTGATTCAGCCGTGGACTTAAAATACACCCAAAACAAAGTTCAAAATATTATAAGGAGTGCTTTATTCAAATGCAATATTCTTGTACTGTGTGTGTACTTGTATTGTGATCCATCTGTATTTATAAATCTATATTTCTATGATTTGTCAGCTATTAACACCCTGCTTTTGTAATTGAAAACGTATCAATTCTGACCCTTTTTAGGGAGCTGTTCTTTGATAATGTGGCGTGGCCTGACAGTGACATCAAAGCATGCTGTGCGCCTCTCTTCATATTAATTCTGTTTGGCCAAAAATACACAATGTAGTAGTTAAAATCCTGTACACAGCACACTGCAAAAGGTCCGTAGAAAGTAGAAGTATTGCTTTATGGAATAAGCACTCCTGTGTAAGATCATTCATACAAAACTCAAATGTTCTGTTTCCCAGGCCTCAACTTTATTTGGTCATTTTTCTAACACTGGCAGTACCACAACTGCAGCGTTGTGTACTGTCAGTTTTAGAGTAGGAGCCTTTGTTTCATGCCTGTAACTGCATGCCCTGCACAAGCCAATCAGCATTCTCTGTGACTGGGATGTAGAGAATATATAAATGTATGGTTGGAGATCATGTCGAAGAATCGGGTTCAAGCACTTCAGCCGCTGCATGTGTTGCATTTTCAGTGAGAGACTGATGTAGAGAATGTGTTCTGAGACCACTTTCCACTCCTGCCTGTCACAGCATGCCGCTGTCATTACCGCACCACCCGCTGCATGTACAAATGGATAAATGAATGGGGGAGAGAATGAATGAATGCCGAATCACCTGTGAGGCCTCATAGACTCTTGACTCTTTCCCTCAGCGCTCATAACGTAAGGGGAAATGTGTTGGGGAGGCGGCTCTGATCGTCATTCTTTATCGCTGCAGCTGGTCAAACCTACCTCTTGACCATCAGCAAGTGGTCTTGTCACATGAGCACAATCTGGAATGCCCCTCACATGTTAAAGTGACACATGAATCAGATGCATGGTGCAGCCCATCAATCCACTACTTTTATCTATATGGCATGGTCACCTATCTTGATGTATGCCCAACTAAAACAACTCAATCTAGGACACGGAAACGCCCTCCTTAGCTCAGCGTTATCCACCTGCATGGTTTTAGGCAGATCCTCAGGGCAAGACTGCCACTCCCACAGCTGCATGACAGACTCTTGAACTGGTTTGGACTGTTTTGTACAGCAGCATGTTGCTATGAATGAAACGCTGTGTTGTCTCACGTATTTTTCATTGATTGAGTTGAAGATCTTGCTCTTTCGTAGTTGATGTCAGGATAAAAACCTGTAAGGAAAATGCTAACAATAGCATAAGCTCTCTTTGATAACACAAAGGCCAAAGAGCCAAATTGAGGGTGGTTCTCTCTTAATGAGTGAACATGAGCAAATGGGGAGTTTTTTATTCTTTTTAACTGTCCGAGGTGAGCAAATCTTTGGTTGATACAGAGGTCATATTTAGTTTTGCTGTTATTACTTTTGTTATGAGCAAGGATCATTGAATTTTTATTGCTTCTGCATGTTTTTATAGCTTGCTAATTTTTATGGTTCCAAGGTGGGTGGGAGGAAGTGTCACTTATAAAAACAGTGGGCTGGATTTACTGTTCATGCTAGTTTATAGCACACTTAGTTGCTGGTTTATACACTATCAAAGTAACCTGAATCTGCAGGCTGTAGTTAGTGGGGCAGATAGATTGGGTTGCGAGTTGCTTTTTGTCCTCACTGACAAACAGCCTGTAAGTTACAGTAAAGTTGAATCAGTTATCTGAAACTTTTGTAACAGCAACTAAATGTGCCATCTATGACTGTAGGGTTTATTGCCTCTCTCGTTACAAGTTTTAGCTAGGCGTACCTAATAAACTACTGTCTGAATGTGTTTTGGGCTGCTTGTATAAAGATAAAGCTGAGCAGAAGCCAGCTAAATGAGCAGAAACCAGCTATTGATTTGGAGAGCACAGGTGAGGGTACAGAGCACATTATGCAAAACAGATTCACTCAGTCTGAGCGATTTGTTGAATTTCTGCGTTCAAAATCTTAATGGTTTATTCATGTTTAATGTGCTGCATAATGCAGTATGTTCAGCTCTGCTGAGATAATTCTGGAACTATTCAGTTTCCTTTTTTTTTTCTTAATTAGATTAGATAGAGGTAATCGTAAAAGATCGTAAAAGAACCCAGAGGGCTCTCTAGGGTTTACTGTTGTTTGCCTACTCTGCAGCTCTGACAGATTCAGCAGCAGGTTAATTGCTTTGGATTCTAATAGATGTGCTTCTATCTCTGTTTCCCTCAAGACGCTTGTCATATGAATGAAGCTTCTTTCTGCTCATTTGTTGCCTAGTTTCACGGCTGTTTTTGAGCGCACTGACCGTCTAGCCACTGTGTTTAGTTGTCTTTAACTTTTGTAGGAAATGAAGCCCTCCACTAGTGCCCTCATCAAAGCTCTTTACATTTTCTAAAAGACTTATTTCACTTATTCTCAACTAGTGACTTCTGATTATCTCGCAGTCTTAATTAAATTGTGGTTTAAATGTGCAGCAGGGGACTTTGAGCAAAAAGCAGGAAGCAGCTGGAGTTGTCAGCTCTTCTGCTTTGTCGAGAAGGTCACTTGTGAAGGGCTTTAAGAAGGAGCGGCATTGATTTGGCCTCTCTGTATGACGTAATGTATTCGAGTACACTGTAGAGTGAAGGTCAGAAATTCCCCCAATTAACTGGCCCCCTGTAGTGCAGCCTGGACTGGCTCTTGACCGAATGATCGCTTGCTTGCCGACTAATGAATCCTCCAGTTAGTAAATAAGCAGCACTGGAAAACATATCCACTGTTTTCCACAAATTGTTTTCCAGCTGTATGAGACAAAAGCTGATCTGCATGTAAATCAAAATAAGAACAAATATTTGATACATTTAGAAAAATTGCACAATTAATGAAAGGTAGCAATTATTTAATCCAATCATCCAAATCGTTTTGTTTCAATAAACACCTAAAGATTGAACATGAGATGAAACTGCTAAGAAGGATGTGTTTTGCAGTGCACCTGGTTTGCTTTTTTTAGTGTTCAGCCAACCGTCCGCAAGGTTGACTGTATGACTAGCTAGTGGGGCTCACTGTAAGCATCTTGTGTCCTTCAGATGGAAGAGGGTGAGGGTTCAGTCGGCCCAGAATATGACCCTGTTAAAGCCCAGCGGAGCCCAGGGGAGGACAATTGGCACCTGCTAGCTGCTTATCCTCCCCCTGCTGCCCCCGGCCCAGACTCATGCTCCCTTAGGTAGTACCGTACATGTACTTCACTTCCATCTGCCCCCCTCCTTGTACAATCACTGCCTGGGCATCGTCTTCACCCAAGGACCAACCAACCAACCCTGTGCACCCTTTCATAGCTGCACTCAGTTGCACAACCTGCAGCCCTTGATCATTAACCCATAACTGTTTGTCACAGCTGCTCCCACACAGCCTTTTAACTCGTTACTCAAATAAGATTCCTGTTTGTCTTTGTGTCTGTCCCACGTTGTATATGAGTGACCCCATGCTTTCCCAGCCAGTCACAATTAACTTCATCCTTCCCTTACCTGTCAGTGAATAACACCGTCCTTCCCTGCCCAGATGTGACTGACCCTGTCCTCCCCTTACCCAACCATGATTTTTTTTACTCATCCTTTTCCCAACCCGGTCTCAATTCACCCCTCACTGGTTTCTGATCAGGTATGGGTTCAGAGTTTAGACACAGAGAGAATGCTGTTGGCATGCTGACTTTGTCTTTGCCATGTTTTCATCTCATACGCAGTGATATATCTTTGCTTGCTTGTAAGGGTTCACCTTTAATTCCTTTTCAATTATGACTTTAAATATCTTTTTTCCCCATTAGTTCCATAATTTAATAGTTTTTGTTTCTGTGAGTTATTTTTGTGAGTGCTAGAAACCAAGATTATTCTATCACGCAGATCGACGTGCACTTTCTTGTTTCTCTTTAAAGCAGCAAATTGCTGTGCTCAGTAACAGGACAGAAAGCAAGAACTTAGTTGAAAGCTGTAATTAATATTGTGGTAAGTCAGCCAGAGGATGACGTCAACCATACAGCTGTCACTGAGGCCTTGGCTATTTTAATGGCAAAGCCTTCAGCTCTAGCATTCATTTTTCAAAAGGTTTACATGAGAATTATTAATCTTACAGTCTGGTCGTGTTTTAATCTCTGAATTATGTGACTGCCTCTTTTTTTTAGAGGTTAAAAAATAAATAATAAAACCCAAGAGTTGGTTGAAAACACTGCAGTGCTGAATTTGGCTCTTTGTATTTACAGGCTCTGTGATGACTCATTGGTTCTCCACAGGTTGATGTAGGGGTTCATTTGTTTGAGTAAGCAAAATCAGTATTGTTAGTTAATCTAAAGACAGACTCATATGGTGCTGTCTACTTAGAAAGGATATTTCTCCAACAGATAATCAGTAGAATAAGGTGCGTAATGTTCATAGCTACAGCTGTGGTTGTGCTTCTTTTCCTGTTTTCAACAGCCCCAGCTTTTCTTTTCTTTTTTTCAATAGAGAAAATGCTGTACAATAGAACCTGAGTCTAAAAACCAGACATTTATAGTATAACCTTGGAGCACCTGACAGTGTCAGAGTAATTCATATTCACTGTGACCTGTCTTTGTTTTGCTGTCTCCAGCGAGGAAGCAGAAGTTTGGATTCATGCCTAGCATGTCTCCAGTTTCAGCTGCAGAAAAGCACAACATCCATAAGTGAAAGCACACTGGAATCCACGGGTCACTTACCCAGACACAAATGACTGTCAGCATTACCACATTAGAGGGGACATCGTGAAATGATCGAGTTTAGAAACCGTTTTGTACAAAAGACGACTTTGGCGATATCTCAACTTTCTGATTCTGTACTATGACACAGTATCGAACTGTACCTGTGTGTTACTGAATCTTCAAAACAATCAAAACCTTTTTCCTCAATACTATTAGCATAGTAGATTTATGAATTATGTTCATGTAATACACAGTAATAAATGGGACCTACACTTGAGAGGTGGTAGTAGGGAACACAATGCCAGCTGAATAAGTGTAACTCTACACCACTGTCACTTTCCTCGTTGTCTCTACTGAATCACCTACTGTCAGGTGCTTCCTTAGGTCAGCAGACAGGTTTCTCATTTAATTTAGCTTTATCTACGAGTGCACTACTGGCTCACTAAGCAATCTAGTTTTTAAAAAAGTTTGTTTGTTTTTTTTTTTTTTTTTTAAATAATCCCAAAACATGTAGTCTTGTGAAAAAAGACTTAATAGAGAGCCAGTCTGAGCATAAGGAAGTAGAGAAAAATGGGCTTATGGTTAGTTTATGTTAAATGTTTATGTTGATGTTAAGTGATCCATCACAGATGCGACAGCCTAGCAGAAAGACCTGCGTTGAGTTTTCGAGGCTCTGGAACAAAAAGTCATCTTTCCTTGAAGGTTTGTTTTGTAGTCGTAGTCTAATGCCACAGCTTCTGCTCTGTGAACAAAAATCCTCTGCTGAGGTGCACAAGGAGGAAAAGAATAGCTTTGGGTGGTCTTCATTTGCTGCAGATGCTACGCAGCCTATCTTGTGTAATGCCCAGCTACTATCAGGAACCTAGAATAGAACCACTGCAGGAACTTTATGTATTTAGCAATTGATATTTGGTTTTGGCACAAGGCCAAAGACACTTGATCTGGTTTAATGTTGCCCAAAAATTATACAGCAGATCATTTTTAAGTTTAACTAGTAATATATGTTTTTTCTCATAGGATTTTGTTTGGTTTTTAAGTATTTATTTACCACATTTCAATCCCTGATGTAGCATGTTTTGAATGTTTTCCCTTGTACATCACTGTTGCTGTGACAGCATGCAAAACATCATCCTCCAGTCACTCTTTTCATACCAGTCATCCTGAATTGTTTTGATCTTTCTTTGTTTTCTTCTCTTTCTCCACTCAAATCTTGTTTTTTTTTTTCTCCTGAATTTTCTGTGATTTCATTCTGTGCCACCTTTTCATTTTTGTTTTATTCACTTTCTCTCCCTCTGTTTCTGCGCTTCTTCCACTTTTTGCCTTCCCTCCAGTCTCTACCAGCCTCCCAGGTGCAGAACCTCAGCTGCATGGAATCCCTGTGCTGCTACCAACAGGGGCAGAGCGGCTGTACCCGCCTGGCCCGCCTCCTGGAGCAAATGACTGGACGCTGCAAGGCCAGCGCAAACAATTGCCACACATCCAGCCGCAACAACAGGTGGGGAAGACTACGACATCGAGAAAGCGTGATTTTGAATGACGAACCCTCGGCACCTCTTGGTGTCAGAAATCTGGGCTTCAGTCCCGACCGTTGTAGCCCATAATGTGACTGCAGGTCAACTGTAACTCTTGTTCAGATTTATAGTGATTTGAACTTAGTGGTGGGGAAGCTGGGCTCCAGGTGTTCCTAGAGGCTGGTTTTAGGCTGAATCTTAGCAGGACTTTGGGACAGCAGCCAAAAGAAGGAGTTAGAGGCTGAACATATGTGGATCAAGCCATCATGGACTGCACTACTATGAGTTTCTCATTTCCATCAAAGTCCGTGTTGGGAGTCTGGAGTCTGAACATTCTGATTAACCAGACAGAAGGGTGTGCTTAATGTCATATCCACAGAAATGCATCAGTACTCCATAGAACCAAAACCACAGGGCGATTCTGATGGCTGTGCTGTCTTACAAAGCATGCAGGTGTGAATGTTTGGCAGACTAACAGGGAGACTCTGGGTTACAGTATTATTTATTAATACACGATATACCGGTGTCCAGCGGGTCTGTCTTGTGTAACCCACACTTAAGGGTTTGTCTGTCCGTATGTTAACCCATGTGTCTGTGTCCTAACAACATGCTATGATCTGTTTGTCTTGTCTGTCACCCTTTCCAAAATATTCTCCAAAAATCACATGGCAGTGAGTCTGATTAATAACCAAGGAATAACTAAGGTTTCAAGGAATTTTGCAATGCGCTTTAACAGATAACCCAAGCACTGCATTAAAGTCGGTTTGTTAGCCTCGTATTCACTAACAGGCCCTATTTTTTATTGGAAAGCTACTTCACATGAGATGAGACCAGACAATGGTTAACTTGTCCAAATAATAATGTGGATTTAGATATTTCTGGGGCTGATGAGCTGTCAAAAACATTTAAGTGGGAAGCCGAAGCAATGAGATTGAACAGTAACTGCAATGCGAGGTCTTTGCTGCAGAGAGAAAATGAAATATTCCAGTTTACAGCAGAAAATGAGCATTTGATTATGCAGATTTCTTCAAAGCTGCAAGTCCACTTTGTGACAAAAGGATGATAAAACAGAAACAGTTTGATTATCTCTTTGTTTGTTTGTTTGTTTGGGGGGAGGGGGGGGTGCAGCTTTAACAACTTCAGTTTATCGGTCTGCCCAATCTGCAGTTTCACTTCTGTTGTGTCTTTTCACCCGAACCCCGGCGACTCTGTGGGGTCATCGATTTATCGACTGATCAGCCGTCTCTGCTGAGCAGTCATTATTTGTTTAAACAGCTTGGGACCCTCAGTATTGATCGCACTGAGTTAGATGGTGTGAGCATGTGTATTTGTTTGTTTCTAACTGTTTGTGTGTGTGTGTAAAGGTCATGACAGCATGCAGGGCAAATAAGGGATTCGGGGGTCTCCCCGTAGCCCGCATGGGGACTAATAAATGACAACGTCTTATGTGAAGAAGTTGTTTTTAATCTTTTGGAACATTCTCATAGTAGAGACATTGTTCCTGGCTGCAGTTACATTTTTCAATCAATAACCTCTGGTTTGGCATCAGATGATCACGTTAGACTTGCTTCAGCTGGTGAGATGATAAATTGGGTCCCATGCTTTAATATTTATGCCCTTCATTATTCCCTCAGCTGTGGGGGGGGGGTTTATCTACCATGAAATGTTTTAGCAGATCTGATGTCAGCGTCATTTTGCTGAAGCCCCTTTGCTTCAGGGAGAAACTGCCACTAAATGCATGATTCAATTTAGATGAATTTCTTCCTGTGGGAATGATTGATTTTTGTTTTCTGACCTTGGCACAAACCAATCACTCGTATTCTTCCAAGTAAGGACATGGCTGCCAGTTTGTTCTCGCCAAAGAATAAATAATGAACATCTAGAAAATGCTTTGCCTAGCTGTGCTTCATACTGTAAATACAAAAAAACAAAGTGGAGTAACAAACTCGTAGCTGATTCTGCAAGTTTATTTTCCTCCCTCCCCTAGGCGTTCCTCTTCTCGCTCTTCTTCACCTTTTGGGTGTGATGGCAAAAAGCAGGAAACTGCAAAGAACGCCTAAACAGGTAGTGAGAGCCAGCTAATATTTGGCCTTAATGCTAGGATACTGCCATAGAGGAAATGGAATATATCCACCCATTCCTATATTCTATGCTTAATGACTGGAAGGGACATATAGCAAGCATATGTAGTACTTATATAATACATGACACATTTATCTCATATTTATTGGAAGCCCAGTTACAGTTGGCTGCTGTACTTGGCCTGTTGCTGGCCAAGGTTAAATATTTTAGTGACAAAGCAGAATTTTTTTTGTTTTTTGATTTGTGGATTTGGATTTTTTTCTGGAAGTTTTAGGGGGAAACTGCAGGTTTTATAACAAAAAGACCTCCTAAAGAGAGCAAGACTGCTTAGGACACCAGAGGGGCTGCTGGGATGTGTAGTCTCAGTCTCAGTTTTGAGGTGTTTTTTTTTCTTCTTCTCCCTGCTACTTCCTCCAATCGTTTTCTATCGGATCCTGAAGCCTTATTATGCTTCTGAGAAGAGGCCATGATTGAAGGCGTGCTCGTTTTTAATCCCATGGTGTTCCAGTTGGGTGGAGTTATCGTCCCTACAGGTTTAAATTACAGGAACAAAAACATGAATGCCCAGAGTGTGTCTTGTTGCATGGGGGCTGCTGTTGCCTTTGGTATTTTGTAAACAATATAATCATGTATGTATCTATCTGTGCCTACACACACACACAGAGTTTTTCTGTCCTCACTGTGTGCGTCTTTGTCCTTCCGTGTCTGAAATCTGCATAATGTTGTTCGACCTTCCAGATTAATTATTCATGTACTGTTACCGTCCCCTGTGAGCCGTCTTGTCAGAAATCTGCTTGTTCTTTTCCTCTTCTTGGGTTCACGCTGCCACCGTCTTATAACCCCCCAAAAAAACAGTTTTAGGTGTTAACATAGTTCATGGTAACCCAGGGAGCAACGATGGTTTTTAGTACTGAGATGCTTCACTATAACCCCCCACCCCCACCCCCCGCCTGTGAGTAGACAGCTGAGCATGTGACAGCATGTGAGAGCGCCCCCAGTCAAACCATTTGAGTCATGAGTCTATTTAAAGTGCCCCTGTAGTTTCTTTTCTTCTGTTTAGCAGGTATTAAAACAGTTGTCTTCATGTTGGTGTTAGACTAAAGGTTGAGAGATATACTTTGAGTAGACCTACTGACATCTTTTGGGGGGTGTTAGGTGAGAGATGCAGCAACTCTGAAGTTGGACAACATAAAACAATTGATTTTTGTAAAAGCTGTCCACACGTTTCAGACGTCACTCGTTCCATCATGTGAGGTTCAGATGTGGTAGCCAGGCTTGGAGGTGCTGTTTGACGTCAGTGGATGCTGAGCTGTGGTCTCTCTGTTACTCGCTCGAGCTTTGAGGCGGAAGCTCTGATCGTGAACTCTGGTTCAGCTTTGATGTGAGTCAGCACATTGGAGGCTGGTGTGTTGTGACTTTTAAAGGCGTTTCAAACAGTGTTTGCTGTGTTCATGTTTTTCTGGTCCCACATAAACCAAATGGATGAGACTGTATGGATTTGTTTGTTAGATATTTCCAAAGGAGTCTCAGCTCACCAAGCTAATAATAGGGAATTGGCTGTAACTCAGTCATGTCATATAACGTTATGCACTGTATGTGTTTGTGTTCAGTACTAAAGAATAGCAAGTCAACCCTGCTGTTGTATATTTAATAGGCAGGATATCAGATGCTGATGGTTATTTTGAAGCTGATAAATGATGAAAGAATGTTTCTGATGCTTGTTCATCTTAATTTTATTTCTCTTTATGATTCTACTCATGAGTTGAGTAGCTCAAGTCTCTCCCCAGCTCCTCAAAGGGAAAACACAGGTGGAGAAAACAGCTAAACCTGTCTTAAACACATTTCTGGAGGCAATTGTTAGAAGAAGCACATCTACTGTATGAACCTGTATGAAGAACCCTAGTTGTAATGTTGAGTGTCAGGCTTTGCATTTTATTCTGGTATCTAATTCAGTTCCAGCCAGGATCGTACCATCTTTAAAACTGACTGATGATGCGTGTCCACATGGGTGTTATTCTTTGTGAGTGATCACCCCAATTCCCAGCACTGGAATCTCGATGGGAGAGCCACGATATGATGATTGGCAAATACTCCAATAAGGGTGCAAACACTGACGTGTACCTGATTGGCCGTTTGCTCCCACCACAAACATCCTAAAGTAAATATCGCTCTAAATGGCACAAGTAATGGGTGACATCACCTTGTTTTTCATGAGCCCCGCCTCTTCATAGTGTAAAAAGCTACAGCCACAAAAAGATTAATGAAAACGTCCCATTATTAGGGACCCCAACAGGTCAGAAACACCAGCAACTAGAAAAACACTGCAAAGCACACAGAATGCAAACGAAGTGGAAAAAAATACAATGGAAGTAGGAAAGAAAATCTCAAAAAACACAGAAGTGTTTTGGGGAACAGCTGTGGAAGTGACAGAAACCAACACATGCGACGCACCGAGACACGCTTAAAAGAAGCAGAGGATTCCTATGAGGGACAAAATAGATGCTGTAGATGCATGTTTGTCTCCCAAGAACACTTCTGTTTTGCTTTGTTAGGGTGTGTGGGGTTTGTTTTCTTGCAATGTGTTTGACCTCTCGGGGCCACCGTACAGCTTTGGTAAACAGTTGTGCCTTCTTTGGTTCAGTCACTGAGTGCAGGACTTCTAAATTGTGGGCCGTTGCTGATAAAGATTAGTGCGAGTTACTGAGGAGAGACTTGTGATACTCACTAACACCATCACACCATTACTAACTTCACTCATCACTCACTCAGAGAAGACTCTGCTTCTTCCAGCCTGGTTGTGTAGATTGTAATCACCAACCTGTGGACAGCAGTGTAAGCTAGTGATAGCTCAGCCCCACTCTTACACCCACACACAGAAACCCACTTAGGCCAGCCTCCTAACCGTCACTCACCCTGCTGCCTGTTTTCAGGTCTTGGAGCGACACGGAGAACATGTACTCCAACGATCGCAGCATCCTGACGCTGTCGCCCATCGAGGCCACCCACTGCTGACTCCCGGGGCCGCTGACTGTAGCACAGGGGGCCGAGGGGAGAGCCACCGCTCTATTATGAGTCATAATCACACCCCCCGCAATCTCAGCCACCATTTTCGAAACAATTTCATTTTAAACTCTGTTAATTCCCAGCAGGATGCAGCACTTCTACAAATGGGATAAGGATCCAAAGAACTCGTTTGAGTCTATGCTGAGAGGAATGTCAGATGGGAGCGAAAACTTTGAAGGAAATGGAACATGTGGTGCGAGCCATCTGTGCAGCTACGTTTACGCTTGAACATCCGGTCTGTGTCTGAGCTGTAAAATGCCTGGATTCCTGCTGCTACTGCTAGCAGCGGATCTGCAAGTCCATCAAACTGGAAAACACCCTCCATAAAATCAGTTTTTAGTCACGTGAACTGCTCTGGAGCCCTTTCATTGTCAAAACAGCGATTTCTGACTGAGTACACTTTTTGCTGCGAGTGTCAAAGTGAGCATCCAGAGGATTTGTCAAGTCGACAGCAAGCCAGGATCATATACGTAGCAAAACATCCTGTTGCTTCCATAAACTGCTACAAAAACTCTTCATTCACACCTCCCACCACAGGCCTGCAGCATCCAGAACATGAAGCCTCATCTCTACCGCGGTACCAAAGACCAAAAAGGATTCCGACTGGAGTTTAAAAGGAAAAGTGTTTATTTTTTGTGCCTGATTGTACAGAAGCTTATATTGTTAAAAGAGACTTGTTATTGTTCATGCTGCTTTTGTCGTCTGTTCTGGCCTCTTTGTCCCCCCCCCACCCCCACCCCTCCCAGTGCGCCACTGTGAAAGAGGCCCAATGTTTTAAAAAGCCATACGTTTTTGAAGAGGTCAGATTATTGGAGGTACTGCAGATGGACGCTTGTGGGAGCTTGTTGTTAAATTTGTTCTCCTCGAATGCCTTTTGTCACCCAGCCCGGCGACCAGAAGCATCTCAGCATTAAAGCCCACGAGGTCTGGCAGAGTCATCCATGTCAGCTGCCTAAAAATACGTCC